GTTGTGTTTTCTTGATCGTCGGTACCTGCAAAGCACGCCGGGGGTGGTCCCGGCGCGAACACTCCGACGCTCAAGTCAGTGGTGGTCCAAAGAGAAAACGGTAGAGTAACGAGACAACAAGTATGTGTGTGTCGTGTAAAATGAATGAACCTGCTCCTTTTATAGGAGAAGTTTGGAGAGTCCTCACGAGATAAGAAGTCTTCTTCATGTATATCTCTTAATTAGGTCAAAAGATTATACATCCATAGAGTCCCTGAAGTTGTGAAACTCTTTATGACTTGAGTACACGAGGGTGCCGCGCACTTGAGGACACCGAGCACACGAGAGTGCCGCGCACTTGAGGGTACCAAGCACACGAGGGTGTCGCGCACTTGAGGGTACCGAGCACACGAGGGTGCCACGCACTTGAGGGTTCCGTGCACTTGGGGGTGCCGCGCGCTCGAGGGTGCCGCGCACTTGAGGGTGCCGCGCACTTAGGGGTGCCGCGCACTTGGGGGTGTCGCGCACTTGGGGGTGCCGCTTAGGGGTGCCGCGCACTTGGGGGTACCGCACACTTGAGGGTAGCATAATAATACTGTGGAGTTAGACAGAGTACCCAGCTGCCTAATTCCCAAGGTGCTTAGTTGGTTCTCTCCATACAAATGTGATGACCGAATCACGACCGACCCTTCATGAACCGTTACTGACGACCACATCATCTAGCCCCCTCATTTCTTAGACAAGTTGAGCTTGTTGTAAAGAATGGAAACTTACACGCATAGCCATAAGTATCGCGCCTACCTCATCTAAACTTTCGTACTACCACACGAGCTCGTACGCAAAACACCGCGCCTCCGCCGAGCTGAACTATCCACTGCTAAGCACTCCCTTGTTGGACACTTCACGCAAGCTCCTCAAGCCGAGCATCGCCGAGCGCTACTGTCGAGTGCCGTACTGCCGAGCGCCCTACCGCCGAGCACCACTACCGAGGGCCTCTACCGAGCACCTTTGCCAAGCTCCGCTGCCGAGCGTCCATCACCGAGGTCTACCACGCCGAGCACCCTCGTGCCGAGCACTTGCCAAGCCGAGCTCTGCCACACCGAGGCCCCGATGCCGAGCACTCCATGCCGACTTCCGACCTGCCATCATGCCAAGCTCTCCGCGCCGAGCTGCTCCTAATGTCGAGCACTACGTGACGCCGAGCAGCCGCGCCGAGCGCCCGTGCCGAGCACACCCCGCCAAGCTCCCGCTACGCCGAACACTCGTCTTATGCCGAGCCGCGCCCAGTGCCGAGCACTTCGCTGCCGTCACGCCGAGCCCCACTTGGTGCCGAGCACTAGCTCATGCCGAGCTCACGCGGGTGCTGCCGACTCTAGGCCAACGAGCTGCCGGTCTCACGAGTCAAATTGCCAACTTAACTTGTACATGATGGTACTTCCTCTTTCGAGAGCCCCCCCATCTGGCTATCACAGCTTTTACCTCGACCAAGTGAGTGTCGGACTTAGATTTCCCCTACACCCCGACCTACTCCGTCTAGGCCGATTGTATGGGGTACCCCTGAACCAACTACCTAGTCCACACTTGAGTCTAGTTTAGACTCAAGTACAAATCCAAGCACTCATCATTTATTCTTCATTTAATTTTTCTTTTAATAAATGAAATATATTAGAGCATTTTTATTGGTTGTCATGTATGCTAGACCTAGTATTTTATTTTTGCATTGAATAGCTTTTGAGTTTTTTACTTTTTTTACTTGAGTTTGTCCATGTCATTTAGGACTTAAGTCTATTTATATGCCACATATGTAAAATTAGATACAAAGCATTGTGGGTGCTCTAAGAGCATCCACAATGCTTTGGGGCTTTTAGAAAAAATCACATGCCATGTAAGAAATAGACTTAGTCTATAAAAAAGTGTTTCACAATGCAATTAAAAGTGGACCTAGTCTAGCTTACGTAGCAATAAAAAAAAAAGAGACCAAGTCCACACTTGAGTCTATTTTGGACCCAAGTACAAACCCAAGCACTCATCATTCATTCCTCATTTAAATTTTCTTTTAATAAATGAAACATATTAGAACATTTTTATTGGTTGACATGTATGCTAGACGTAGTATTTTATTTTTGCATTGAATAGCTTTTGAGTTTTTTTACTTGAGTTTGTCCATGTGATTTAGGACTTAAATCTATTTATATGTCACATATGTAAAATTAGACCCAAAGCATTGTGGGTGCTCTAAAAGACCAAAAACATTGTGGGTGCTTTTAAAAAGAAAAAGAAAATTGTGAACAATTAATGACTAGGTGAGTTTGTACTTGGATTCAAAATAGACCGAAGTGTGGACTTAGTCTTTTTTTCTAGTGCCACATAAGTTAGACTAGATCTATTTTTAATTGCATTATAAAATATTTTTTTATAAACTAGGTCTATTTCCTACATGACATGTAATTTTTTTTAAGGGACCAAAACATTGTAGGCGTTCTAATATTGTTTACTCGTGCATCTCACGGGACAGGCACTAGTATCGTCATATTCGAATAATGAGCTGGAGATTTTCACATACCCTCTCGAGACTCGACCGAGTCACCGCCGCTTACTTCCCTCGAGGAAACTTCGACAACAAGCCATGGACGAAGAGTTCTCCGTCGATCCCTCTCAACTACTCGGAGCTTCTTCCGATTTCGCTCATCAGCCAGGTCTCTACCTCTCTATACCTCGTTATTGCACATATTTAAGTTCTTATCGTTCATGTTTGTATTATCTCAGGTGCTCCATCAGACGCTTCAGCTCAGGAATTTCTCACGCGCTTCCCTCTCCCCGCCATCATCAGGTAGAGTTCGTAAGCCCATCCTTATAGTTATAATTGTAAAGATTCTCAGAAACATGGAATTTGTTGAGGTTATGGTGTTCTTTACCTTTTGGGTTTGGCAAAATCGAGCAGCGCCTTGCAGACGAACTCGGATTACCCTGGCCTGGAAAATGCTTTGGTCGATTGTTTGGAACGAATATTCAGAACTAAATATGGAGCATCACTTATCCCGCATTTCATGGTATTGCTGTAATTTTGATTCCGTTTGCGGCGATCTTGTGATACTTATTTTCCTTGCATATAACTCTTTATGTTGTTGGTATGGCTTTAAGATTTGCTGGAATTATCTGCTGCCAGTTTGCTCTTGTATTGAATTTGGAGTTTTCAGCTGCTTTGCCGTAGTAGGTTCTAAAATGAACCCGTCGCCGTAATTTTTTAACCACGTTTTGGTGACTGGCGTTATAGTTGATGCTGTATCTCAATCATAAACGTTTTGTTTTTTCTTTTATTTGTAATGTATTAGTGTGATGTTGTAGATAATTTGTGAAGTTTACTGTTGATGTGCCTGTTTGTATAATACTTATATTTGTTCTATCTTCACTTGCTTTCTGACTTTACTTGCTCATTCAAGATGAATTCCTACTCGTTCGTGTTCTAATTTTGCACATCGGTAGTGTATTTTGCCACTCGGCCATCTTTTTTGAAAATTGCTTAAATTTGATAACGTGGCACTACTTATGATGACTTGCTCAATTGTTTGGTGTTGGTTTGTTTGGGTTATTTAGAAGTCATGCATTAGTGATAATGGTGCACTTTTTCCAGAGTACTTATACTCCTTTTATGTTTCAGCCTTTCGTTTTAGTTGGTCTTGGGGCAGATTCTCAGAAAGTGAAACGCTTGGCCTGTGTGGCTGTAAGTATACCCTCCCTTTGTTAACATCACCATCACTTCCGATAGAGGGAAAAATGGAATCCTTATTAAGCATATTTTTAAATTGATTTGGATTAATTTTCCTTTTCTCTCTTCTGCATAATGAAAGACATGTATTCAAAATCTGACTCGCCGATTTCTTTTCAGATACTGTGTCTTTTAGAGAATACTGATAAGAAGATTGCAGTGCAACTAGTGCTACAACATGGAGTTTATCCCCTTCTGCTCGATTGCTTGACTGATGGGTAAATCTGCAGTTTTCTCTTGGGTGTAATATTCTAATATATCTCGTGACTTCATTCTTATAGATCAATAATTGATTTTACATAAATTCAGGATAAATGGCATATTATTTGATGCTTCTTCTGTGGTTACTGTTTTAATGGCAATGTAATGATACTTAATTTTTATTTATATATATGTAGTAACTACTTGAATATCGCTGATATTAAATTTAATGCATCATGATTCAACAGCAACCATAATTGGTACCACTGAAGTTCTTTTTGTCCTAAATTGCCTAAATTTTTGTCTTTGTGCTTCAGTGATTAAACAATCACCAACAAGAAAAAATGTTATACCTGAATATTGTTAGTTATCTTCAAAATATTGCAAATTTTTTGTAAATCAGATTATTATTCTAGTTTGTAAATGGCATATTATTTGATGCTCCTTGTCAATTTGTTCATGTGGAAGAAGTTTGCAAATTAAACTGAGGAATTCATTCATTTTTTTCTTATATACTTTAATTTTGCTCTTGTTTTTTAGATTATGTATTCTTTTTGGATCATATGTAAGGCTAATTCATTGTGAGTTATGTTGTATGCTTAATTGAAAATATTCTTTCTGGTGTTCTCTTTTTCTATAAAGCATTTAAGGACAACTATTCTTTATTTTCTTTTAATATGTTTTTTTTATATATTAAAAAGTGACGAACAAGTGGCTGCTGCATCAACTGATGCGATTAAATCTTTGGCTGGATATCCAGAAGGCATGGTGTGTACCTGATTTCTGTTTCTGGAATATGAAATTCTTCAGCAACCAATAGTCCTACACTGTTTTACTGGTACTGATCTGCAACTTTTCTTAGGGTATTGTCTTTCCAACAAGTACTGATGAAGCTACACACCTTGGGAACTTAACAGCAAAATGTTCATCACTGGTATACTGTTTATGTATGTGAATACATCTTAAAAACTGAATAAGTTCCTAGTTCTTGTAATTTGGGGCAAGGGTGGTTGCTATGCATAAGGAACTTTTCTTCTGGTCATTTTGCTACTGGAATATAGAAGGCTTGCTTCTAGCACATCTTCATGTTATGATCTTTACTTCGTATGCTGTTGTGCTGCAATATTTTTTATGTTGGAATTGTTGACTTCGCCTTCCACCTTCAGCTAAGCACCCATTATTCTTGAATTCTTATGCTAACACTTTTGTTTGGATTCTTTGAATGTCTATAGGGAAGAGTTCGAGTTCTAGCCCTGATAGTGAGGCTCTTCTCTATTTCAAGCTCAGTGGCTTCAGAAGTCTGCAGATATAACCTTTTGAATCTGTTGGAGGCAGAAGTAAAAAATACAAATGATACTCTAGTCACATTGAGCGTGTTAGAACTTTTGTACGAGGTATGGCTCTTATTCTGTAAGTATTGCAATGTACCCATATTTTTTTATTTCTTTTGTCTCTATCAATGTTCAACTGCGAAGATCACCAGGTTGGCATGCCAACATATGCATGAGTTTCTCTGCAATATCATAGTTGTTACATTACATTGATTAACGTCTTTGGCCTAAGAATGACATAATTGGTTCAGTTCTAAGAAAGTCAATTCTCCACTTCTTAACATCTTTGGCACTGTTCAAGGCAGAGCTGCAGAGGTGTCATAAGCATTGTTTTCAACTCTAATATTTGTATTAATATGGAAAATTAGTCATTTGTGGACTCATTCTCATGCACCACCCAATAGGCTGTATCTGGTACAATCATGATGATGAGAATGCCCAATACGATTGCATATTCCATCTTTTTCACCATGCAAAATGGTTGTACATTAATGTCTGTAAAACAAGTGCATCAACCAATTGCCGAAAAGGCTGTTTGCTCTCGAATTACTCAAGTTCCACAGTCAATCATCTGTAGCTGCAAAGTCATTGAAAAATAGTAGTTTCCAGCTCTATTTGTTGGCCTTCATGTTCCGATTCGTCAGTCCTCTATCTCGTAACATGCTATATTTATAATGGCAATTTACCCTTTGTTCTTGTGCATATAGCAACTGACATTTGGATTTCAGTTTTCTATGTTTCTCCTTCTAGGTTGAGGAGAAACATATCCTGAATGTCTTTGATTGGAAAATTATTACTCATACAGATGTTTTTATTTGTTTTGATTGGGTCATTTTTCTCCTTTTTGATATCTGGACCTTGATGTGTGTCTATTCCCATGTAATATTTTTTTATCAGGGTTTTTGTTTCAATGTTTTCTCATTATCTGTTCACTTGCATTCGTTGGGTTGAAGTTTCAGAAATATATTTTTCATGTCTTAACTTTTGTGTTGTCATGAAGTTGGTGGAAGTCCAACACAGTGCAGAGTTTTTATCTAAAACCAGCCTTATTCAGCTACTTAGTTCAATAATCAGGTTGGTGAAGGGATGGTTTTTATCCATAAAACTGTCCGTGATTTCTGAATGTTTTCTTAAAAAAAAAAAAACATTATTTCTTTCCCCAGCGATGAAGCTTCAGAATCCGTTTTACGATCAAGGGCAATGACGATAGCTGGAAGGCTTCTATCCAAGGAAAATGCATTTGCATTCATTGATGAATCAAGTATGCCGATGTATTAAGTTTTGATATTTTTTTTTTTCTGGCATCTAATATTTCCAAATCCAGTTGTAAGTATTTGACAGTATGACTTCATTAGAACTTTAGTTACACCAAAAGCATAAAGTAGTAAATTGATACGCACGGGACTTCATATGAAACTTCTGATAGTCTCTCTCTCTCTCTCTTTCTCTCTCAACGGCTTTAAATAGAATTCTTATTGTTTTCCTGTATAAACTTTTTGTAGGTGTCAGAACTGTTCTGGCCGCTATTGATAAGAGGTTTGAGTTCATGGAAGGTCACGAGGCAGATGAATGTGAATCGGCACTTGAAGCTTTGGGTCAAATTGGATCGTGTGAGTTATGCTTATTTGATTTGGGTTGCATCAATCATCTAATCGTGTTTTGCCTTCTGGTTCTTTTTCCTTTTTGGGTCTTTAGGTTCTGTTGAACTTGTCTGCATATCGGATACCCAAGTGATGACTTCACTGGTGCTATCCAGAAATTAATATCCCAAAATAAAATACCATACATTTCATCATTGAAATAATTGCTCTTTCGAACGGCTTGATCGCTGGTGCTTTCCTTTCTCAGAACTGCCTTTTTATAGCTCGGTTTTTTATTTGATCCTACTATCTGTTAAGCTCCTCACAGATATAGCTAATGTTATCTTAGTTTTCTAATGTTAATTCAGCATCCCAAGGAGCAACAATAGTTCTGTCAACTTCACCTCCTATTGCTAGGCATGTAGTTGATGCTGCTTTTGACCGACAACAGCATGGCAAACAGCTGGTGAGCCATCGATGTTGTTTCTACATATATTACGTGATTCATTTTCAAACCGGACTTAGAGTGTAATTTTGTAAACTTAAACCTATTTCATGAAAAGGGTCTTGTATGAGACACATGAAATAGTGATGTGGGACAAAGTGCTATGTGGGACAAAGTGTTACTGAAAACACAAAAACTTAAACCTATTAATTGGATTTAATTGTTGGTTGCTGGATTTGGAGGAATAGTGATGTGGGACAAAGTGCTACTGAAAACACAGACAGTACTTGGAAGAAAAATATATTTTATGCATTGTTTGTTTGCCACACACTGATCTCATTTTCACTGTTCATTAATGGATATCAGGCTGGGTTGCATTCCCTTGGAAATATTGTCGGTGAAGCACGTATAGGAAGTACTGTGTTACTGAACAGTTCTGCAGAAGGAAACCTTAGGAGCTTAATTTATGAGAAAGCTTCCAGAACATCAAAGCTGACCCCATCAGTAAGTCATTCTTTTATCAGTAAAAAAGTTTGCATAAATGCAATCCATTTCCCTTAACAACCTGCATTTTGTTCCTTATAATTTCTCATCTGAGTGTATTTCTTCCTGCATTCTTGAGTTAGTAACAAATTGGTGAGTAGACGAGAAGGGGTAGCTCAGTTGGTAGCTCTTTCACTTGGGACCAATAGGTCTCGAGTTCGAGTCATGCAGGGGGGTAAGTGGGGAACCACTATTGATCCTCTTAAAAGAAAAAAAAAAAATATAGAAATTGGTGAGTAGCAGTGGAAAACAACAATGGATCATAGAAAATTAGTTCAAAATTTTCAATCTTGTACGAAGTGGATCCATTACCTATATGGATTTATGATGAATAAATCCAATTCATGGGCTTATTGTGTGTCTGGAGCAACACAAAATTCAACAACGTAATTTTCTGTCCGTGTTGGCTGTTACTGGAGCAGCACAAAATTCACGGGCTTATTGTGTGTTCGGTGTGCATTTTTGAAATTTTGTCTTGACTTTGTTTTTACTTTATCATAACACTAATTGTGGTTGCAGGGCCTCCTCTTATCAGTTCTTCAGCAAGATTCTGAAGTTCGTATTGCGGTTAGAACATATTTCCATAGCTTGTTTCGATACAGTCGTGGTATTTATTGAAACCTTTTAATTCTAGTAGTTCTGTGATAGGACTGAATTTTTATGCTTTGTGCTACAATCGACTTCTAATGCAGGCATACAGATTGATTAGTGGATTGGTGGCTCGACCTTGGTGTCTTATGGAGATTATCTCTAGACCTGAGATAATTGATATTATAACCGATGCATATACAGAAAGCACAAAGATAGGTCCGTATCAATTCACTTTCAGATGATGCAAAAATTTCCATTTTTATATCCAGTTTTGTTTTACCTTATCATGGTATTGTCTGTATGTTAATATGCTTTTTGTGAACTGTATTTGACATGCACAATGACTTGGCAGGAATGGAAGCTCGACATAGGTGTTGTGAAGCAATATACAGAGTATACACTTCATCTACAAAACTCGTCAGTGATCCTACATTTGCCGACATAGTTTCCAAGGTATGATCCTTAGAGTGTTTGTTTATAAATTAATAACAATCAATCATTCTTGTACATAACATCAACTTTAATACATTATTCACCCACTCACATAATTTTAACAAACCATCAACACTTCACACTATCTCTCTCCTACTTTTACATCAAATCAATTTTAATTATTTTATTTTAAATTTTAGTTTAATATAAATTCAAAATCCCATTAACAACTAACCATACCATATTTTTCAAAAATAACTTCGGTTAACCAAAAAAAAAAAAAAAAACTCATTTTGAGTGGATATATTTGTATGCAAGCACGCCCTTAGTGTTGACTAGCTGAGGGATACTGTCAAATTTAACCCTTTGCGGACTAGAGTTTCCATAATAATCTTTGTTGTTTTGCTATTCTATGTGGTAGTGGGGCTCATGCAAATTGTAAGGATAAGCTTGTTTACTTCCCAACTTTGAAAAACCCTGGTTTGTCCTTTGGTTTACCTTCTCTGTATACAATAAGTTTGGAACGCTTATACAGTTTAGTCTCTCATCCTGTTTTGACCTGAATGGTCATTATGATATTTAAGTCATAGAGTTAGAAGGAAGATCAGTGAACTCTTCTGGTTTGATTTGAAATATCGAAGATCAGTGAACTCTTCTGGTTTTATTTGAAATATCGTAGATTTCAAAGATCGGAGAAAATAACTGGTCTTTAACGTCATCTGAAATGGGTGGGTAGAGGATTAATTAGTTAATGACATGAAAACTAAGATAAAGACTAATTGCGTTGTGGAAGGATGACGATGAATTAAATAATCAACCCCAAGAGACTTTTGCCAAAATTTGTATAGAACAATTAAATTCTTGGTAAGAGTCAAATCTTGATGTTTGCCGAACACTATTTGCAGCTACAGGAAGCAATCAGAAGGGGTCCTTATGGTGCGAGAAAGCTCACCGAGGCTCAACCGGTGGTTATAACAGCCGACAGGTTCTGATAGTGCCAGTAGGACCAAACTCTTTGCGCTTAAATAACCTAAATGTGATGTACCAAGTTACTAAAACTGGGACC